CCTCCAGGAATTCTCGGCCTTTCCTTATTGGGCAGGCGCCAACAATGCGAGTGTTTTCCCATGCAAATTTGTGCCCAGTTTGTGCAGGGCCACCTGGGACAGATGGTCGCGTCTCTTTTCCGCCAAATGATGTTCATGTATACGGATTCGGACAGATTTCCCAGTTTGGCCACAATAGACGGCATCACAACTAGAACATGGGATTTTATAGACAATTCATTTTCTTTCGATGTAGCCAACCCTGTCCGTAGGGTGTACAAGCTGTGTGAGTAAGGTAGTTGCCGGCTGGTGTGCTACGTGTATCTGATGCGTTTTCAATTGTCTTTCGACCAGTTCAGATACATTTTTCACATATGGGAGAGTTCGCCATGAGGTTGGTTTTGGTGCTCGAGCGGCCGTAGCATTGAAAATACCTTTTCCCTTGAGTTGCTGGTGCCTCATGCATTGACGTACAAAGTCATGTGTGTACCCATTTTGGGAGAGGTAGAGGTATTTCATTTCCGCTCGATAACTTGTTTTATCAGAGCAGTTGGTAATGGCTCGATCCAGAAGGTTGTAGGCTGTATTCCGTTTGTGAGATACAGGGTGGTTACTCTCAAAGTGTAGGATGACCTCTGAATACGCCTCTTTGAGATAAACTGCTGTATGAAGTGATCCATCGGTTTTTCGACGTACAAGGACATCTAGGAATGGGAGTTGTCCACCAACCTCTGCTTCGAAGGTCAACGTAATTCCTGGAAATATAGAGTTAATGTTGTTATGGAGCAGATTCAACTGATCTTTCTTGACGAGGACAAAAGTGTCATCTACGTACCGCAGCCAAAGTTTTGGGTTAACTGTGGAAGGGCTATGCTTTCTAATTTCTGCAGTACGGCCTCTGCCAGGAAACCGGATATGGGTGAACCCATGGGAGCAGCTTTTAATTACCGGTAGCATTGATTGGAGAAAATATTTGTCTCAAGACAGAGATCAAGGAGTTGAAGTAAAGCCCCTGGAGGCACGTCAGAAATGTATGTTTAAAGGAGTTCTTCGGTGCAGCTCTTCGCTAAATCTAGCGGAATCGAATTGAAGAGCGAGACCACATCGAACGACACCATAATCTCGTCACATCTGATGTTGACACCGTTTAATTTGTCTAGAAACTCTTTTGAATCCTGAATGGAGTTCTCGGAGTTCTTCGTGAGTGGATGTAGTTGGCGAAATAGCCACTTCGAGATCTTATAGTTGGGTGCACCGATTAGGGGGACTATCGGTCGCAGAGGAATATCAGTTTTATGAATTTTGGGAAGACCATATACCTTGGCAATTGTTGGTTCATCCTGTTTTAAGGACTTGGCAAGAACTCCTGAGATTAATTTCCTTCCTGTAAGGCGTTTCAGTGTTTTTTCAATATATGAATTTTGCGATTTTGTGGGGTCGGCAGTTGGAGGTTCGGATGTTGAATCATCTTTTAATAGCGACATCATTTTCACTGTGTAGTTTGTTTTGTTCAAAATAGTGGTGACACCTCCTTTGTCGGTAGGTAGATTAATGATGTCTTTGTCTTGTTTTAGGGCTTTAAGTGCTTTCGCTTCATCGTAAGATAGCGTTGAGAACTTTTTTCGGTTCTTCAATGTCTGTACAGTGCTGCTATGAATGGTGAATTGTTCTTCTTCGGTAAGACTGGTTGATCATATGATTGATTCGATGCTGACAAGGAAGTCCAAGTAATTGGAGTCAGATGGATTGTACGTCATTCCTTTGCGCAGCACGTTTTCCTGTGTTGCCGTTGGGACCCTAGAGGATAGGTTTACAACCTTCTTTGGACATGTAGAATTACTACAACCTTTATAGGAGATAATTGCCCACCTTTTTTAAGTTTCTCCTCTTTTAGCCGCTCTAATTCTGCGACATTTATGATTGTTTCCTTTAGGATCTCTAATAAGTAAGTAGGCAGTCGATCATGACAAAATTGCATGTAGTGCTCTTTTTGCTCTTTGAATTTGCGAAGTCGTTGATGCGCATCAGTTATAAACGCTCAAAGCATTTGTTGGCCATACCGGGTAGCAATCTGAAAGCCCTGAGATGACTTTAATGCTGGTTCCACTCGCACAGACTTCGGTAGAATCCTATTGCTTCGACATCGGTGTAAGAAGGATAATTGTTCCCGCGTCAAACTTTCGCGAATTGCACATTTTTCCCATCGTTGAGCATAAAGCATAACACTCCGCTCGAAGTTCATACGTATAAATTGGAAAACAGGCATCCCAAGAGATATAATTATGAAAATGGAATTCTTTGGGAAAGAGCAAACTTTCTTGTGTCAATTTTCAAGACTGGTTCGCCAGCTCGTATTCAGACAACGAGCGTGCAAAAACAATTAACCTCTAGACCGAGTCTGACAAAAGGATTCTACGATTTGTCAAAAGAAACGGAACCAAGTAGTTCCAATCAGGCACCGAAGCCAAATACTTGGCGAACTCTCCCTTACATCAAAAACCTGTCTGAACTGGCCAAAAGGTACCTAAAGAAGCATCAAATTCTGATGGCACACAGGCCGATAACAGTGAGACTCTAAGCACAACAGTGAGAGTCACACGCCTATTTGACATGTTTATATGCATCACTGACGTACTGATGATCGGTAACGACTGTGAAACAGCTGTCTGCGCCTGGCCTGTTACACTCTTGGCGAGATGCCCATTTGTTATAAGTGATATATGTCCTACGACACAGCGTTCGTTGTCGCCAGTAGCAGGCTGGCGGACAGGCAAAATGGGATCGAGTGAGATCCTAACCTCCACAGTGAGGGTCGCACGCCTACTTGGCACATATATATTTTACCTTCACCATATGGATTTAATACAACTCGTAGTACCACTTGTTTGTAGAATGGGCATTATGTGGTTATTCCATAGTAGTTGGTAGTTTTCGACTGGAATGTTCTTTGAAATTTCGGATCTGGCCCTACAAAGTCATGCCATGGCGACTTATCCCCGTTCGTAGACGTCCTGCTTCATCGCAAGGTCAACAGGAGCCTGAAAACGACGGTCTACAGTAAGACCACCAACATCCGGCAGGTCCTGTCCCACCACAGGAATCTTCCGTTGTGTCAAAAACGAAGCTGTGTGCATCTCTCTACAAGAGAGTTGACACTCACTGCAGCGAAACCGCCGACAAAGTAGCCGAACTCCACTATTTACGTCGAATGTTCACTCCCAACGGTTGCCCCTGTGGCTTTATAGAACGCAGCAGACTGTCCAGACTGACCATAAAGTTAACAGCGAATCATTCGACAGTCTGGCGAGCGCTGCCATATACAGCGAACGTTTCCGAGGCAGTTACTCGTTTCTTTCAACCATTGGGTATCGGCATCGCCCACAAAGCCGAAGCGACAATTAGAGGTCCGGCCATGATACCAAAAGACCTCTGTCATGGGATGAAACAGCCAACATCGTCTATCGGACCCAGTGCAGTTCCTGTGGAGCGAACTACGCTGGAGAGACTGGGAAGAGATTGCAGACCCGCATGGGCGAGCACGCAAGAGCGGCGCCAAAAATGGATCAGATCTCGCTGATGGCGGAACATTGCGCAGCTTCTGGCCATGCCTCCGCTTCCCAAGACGCTGAAGTCTTGGGCCAAGGGAGCGATCAAACGTTCAGGCAGACGCCCGAAGGCTGGCACACCACAACTACCTCGATGACGGCTGTGTAACTCTGCCGGATGCCTACCAAACCCTATGGGGACAGTACAATAAGCAGAACTACGGGCTAGATGTCAGGCCAGAGATGACGGTAGTCAAATCCAGACCAAAATAGAACACGGTCAAGTTTGGACGGGCATCGGAAACGGACAAAAAACAGGGGACAACCGGTGGCGAACGCAAACCCAGGAGACCGCCTACTGGGTCTGAACGCAGGCAGACGCGAGCACTCAGCGAGAACAAAGGACAGCGATAGGGATCCCCAGCCCGACGTCGACACTGTCATGAAAACCCCCGTCAACACGGTTACGGACAGGAATGCGAGATACATGGAGGGCGGACAACGGACAATGCAGACGAGAGTAATGACCACAGTTACCTCGACATCGCCCCCCTCCCCACACCCGACAAAGGATGAGGAGGGACCAATGTCACCATGACAACAACCGTCAACCCCGTAATTGAGCGCGCTGAAAGTCAGTGACACGTCAGCACGGAGAAAAACCCTTAAATACTGTGACATTCCGTACGCAACCCACCCCCGATGATGGGAGGTTGTTTGCTTTCGAAACGTCAGGCCAATGAAACCATGCTTCCTCTGATCGTCTACGTTCTCATATATTGCCGCATGATTTGACAATTGACTTCGTAGCCCAACGGTTACAGGACAATTCTGTTGATATCCCAGAGCAGCTCAAATTCTGCATTAAGAACTACTGTAATTTCACCAATAAGTACAACCAACAGGTGAAGGAAAGTCCAATGGGCTCCCCAAGATCCGGACTACTCGCCAAGCTAGTGCTAAAGTGACTATAAGATGAGGTTTTTCGAACTCTCAAGCCTAAAATTCGGTTCCGCTATGTCTACGACAACTTCGCCGTAATTAAGAACTGTGAAGGCGAAAGGCTACATCAGAGGCTGAATGATGTCTTTCCAGCAATACAATTTACCCGTGAAGAGGCAGTAGGAGACAGTCTGCCGTTTCAAGACGTGAAGATACAAAGGCTTGACGATGGTAGTCTCGCACCCGGTGTCTGATTCTGAGATCATCCTCAATTATGGAAGCAATCATCCTGCGGCTAACAAAAGAAGCTGCATTTGAACTCTCCTCCACCAGGCCTACCGTTATTGCAGCAAAGACGATTTACTGAAGAAAGAACTAGCTTATCCGTATCAGTTGTTTCGATCTAATGGATATCCGATAAGTTTTGCGAAGAACTGCCTCAGGCGTCAGGCACAACCCCGAGACCCCCCCTTAAACGGAGAAGTCGTGACACGGGAATTCTTCTCCCTGCCATATATGCAGGGGACCTCAGAAATGATCGCCTGTCAGCCAAACCAGTTCGGTATCCGCGTTGCCCACAACCCAGCATCCTCACTACGCACAGCACTATCTCGAATCGAGGATCTCCTCCCCAAAGAGCAGCAAACAAACGCAGTTTATTGCATTCCGTGCGCAAACTGCCCTCGCGTGTACGTTGGTCATACAGGCCGACACCTGAGCACCCGTACTGATGAACACAAATTGGCTGTTCGTCGGCGAGAACCCCTGTCCCTCGTCTTCGCTCACGCACTCGCGTGCAACCACCGATGCAATTGGAATGGCACTGAGGTCGTCGCCATGACTAACACAAAACGGGCGAGAGGATTTCTCGAGACTTGGTACTCCAATGCTGGTGGTATCAACCGCCATTCTGACCTGGACGTCCATTACGAGGGCCTACTGGTACTTGATACGGCTGCGATCATGCCCGATCTAGCCGGCCTCGATGATGTCACGAACTGTATCTCTCCACGCGTCACGACCCGCGGCAGCAGATCTGGACGGCTCAACCCATTCCCTTCGCCAACGACGGAGACCGAATACCGAAGATCCAAGAACCACCTCCATGTCTTGACGAACTGTGTGGAGCCAGGTTTTGAACTGATCTCCTCTTCGAAGCTTCCTATGTGGCACCGGTACCGAATCGAGGGCAGTAACACTGAGCTTCTGAGGTGGACGACGAAGAACATGCCCGAACCACCTCAGTCACCTTTCTTGGATGACCTTATTTATCCTTGCGATGTTGTCGCAGCGAGCGCGGACTGTCTCATTTGAGACGAAGTCGGTAAACTTCACTCGAAGGATGATGCTCAAGCAGTGGTGGTCAAATACCTCCACGATTCGCTCGTCCTCCACACGCAAAGCCCAGCATTCACAACCATAGAGAAGGACAGACCGGACAGATGCACGGTACACGCAAATCGTAGCGGCGATGGAGAGGTCACGTCGGATTCTTAGGCACTTTCGAAGGCTTGGGAAAACTCAGCGGGCAGCATCAATTCGGGAGACAATGTCGTCCTTACGCTGTCCATTAGGCAGCAGCCTCGCCCCTAGGTATTTAAAACTGTCTACTTCTTTAGTTTGGCAGCCATCAATCCCGAGGGGTGTCTTCTCCTGGTCAGGTATGCAGCTTGAAAACGCCTTAGTCTTCCCGGCGTTTATGGATAAACCGACCGATTTAGCGACCTCGTCCACCCGTGACACCATAGACTGCAGATCACCAAAACGTGAAGCAAGTAAGGCGATATCATCGGCATAGTCAAGACCAGTCAATCCGTGTCCGGGTGCAAACTCAACACCGTCACCTTCGTGTAGGCCTCCCCCCGAGGATCCAGTCAATAGCATAGTCGAACAGAATGGGCCACAGGATACAACCCTGTCGAACACCAGACCGAATACCGAATGGTTGGGAAAGATTGTTGCGGGCTAGTACTCTCTCAGTAGTGGAGCGATAATGGGCCTTGATCATGGCGATGATTTTTGCCGGTACACCATCTAGCGCCATTATCCGCCACAGGGGATCACGATAGACGGAGTCGAACGCGGCGGCAAAGTCAACAAGGCAGACGGCCGTCGGTTGTTGGTAGCTATGGCGAAATTCGAGAATGCGCCTCAGTGTAAATATCTGGTCTGCGCATCCACGTCCAGCACGAAATCCGGCTTGGTTAGGCCTCGTCCTTGAGTCACGCACAGCCCGGAATCGCCTGAGTAGGACCAGGGTTGCGGAGCGCGTCGGTTCCCGCGGACGCCGTTGCACAGATCGTACTTCTGTAACTGGAGATATTTCATGAGGTTTCTTGGGAATTCCGAATAAGGGTGGATCCCCAACAGCGGCTCGGATTGTTTGTTCGAGGTTGCCTCCTCTAGCGCTTTAGCTTAAAAGCCTAACCACAAGGCAGCGGTAGCGAGCAAGCTTATCTGATGGCGGTTTACGGTCGCCATGTCTCAATGCCGTCATTGGGCTTTGCGGCCTTTTATAAGGCTTTAAGCGAGCCAGACCTCAGCCCACCGCACAATGGTAGCAATGCCGCTGCTGGCCCGCGACTGCTTATTGGTCAGACCTGGGTCTGCTTATTTCGCAGCTAGTATTCAGTGATGGTCGTCCCACTATCCGCCACCTGTGGACGCGCCGAGTAGACAGTAGCTGGGCTAACGGGCAACCCGTCTTCCCGGGGGCCTACGCTCACGACTTACTGTGCCCTAATGCCATATCAACGACCGCTAATCCAGCCGTCCGGAGTCCAATCGATCCACCACCGCCAGCACAGGGATCCGTAATTGTTCCTCCTCACCCCTCGCCCAGATACCTACCATGACTCTATAAACATCCCTATCATAGGCCAATTGTCTGTCTGTCCTGTCGCGCTAACTAGTCTAGTGTGACAAGCTAAATGTCTCCCTTGTTTTCATTTCGTATGACGACGAGTTGGTGTCACCCACTCGAAAATTCACGATTACAACTCGATTTTTCCGAAGAACCTCTTCCTTTTTTCACATTATATATATATGCAGAATGGTATTACCGACGTAGACAAGGGAGATTGGAATGGCCCTTTCTGGCTGATTAGCTGTCGTCAGCCAGTCATACCCAACCCCGAGGTGTGGAACACCCGAGGCTCGAACTCGCGACCCGTTAGTTAGAAGTCCACGCCTCTAACCACTGGGCCACGGGTCCGTTGTCTTGCCGGTTTTCGATCGAGAATATACAACGGTAGAAGGGTTGGGTATGACTGGCTGACGACGGCTAATAAGCCAGAAATGGCCATGCCAGTCTCTCTTGTATTTGACGGTAATATCATTTTGCCTATATCATGCGCCGCTGTGCGGCTGCTGGTTGGGCTAGAGAGAGAGCCCGTAAGGCACAACGGAACGAGTGAGTTCCGTAAGAACGATCGGAGAGCATCCCTCTACCATTGTAAGTTCCCGATCGAAAATCGACAAGACAACGGGCCCGCGGCCCAGTGGTTAGAGGCGTGGACTTCTAACTAACGGGTCGCGAGTTCGAGCCTCGGATGTTCCACACTTCGGGGTTGGGCACGACTGGCTGACGACGAATTTGAAGACGGGAATCCCAAGAAGCATAATTCTGAAGAAATGCGTTCTTTGGGAAAGACAAACAAATTTAATTGTGAATATTCAACTCCGGTTCCCCAAGTCGTCCTCAGACGTGAAGTAATCGTGCGAAACAATTAACATTCAAACATGCCTAAAAATCGATTTTGCCCTGTCACTCCTGCTGGCGTAATGTTCTGACTGGCCAACGCATTTTGTACTTTTCCTTGAGGCTGTTGTACACAGCACCCAACTCTACGCGTCGATTGATGCATGAACTATCAGAATGAATGGCCTCTAAAAAGTCGCGGCCTGTCTTAGATTAGCAGGCACCTACAGTACGAATCTTGTCGTAGGCGAATTTGTGCCCAGTTTCCAGCGTATGCATGGCAACTAGGGACAAGTGGTCTCGCCTTTTTACGGCCAGCCGATGTTCGTGTATCCGTGTAGAGGCCGATTTCCCAGTTTGACCACAGTAAACCGCATTATAGGTGTTGCATGGTATCTCATGGACGACTTCCTTATCTAAGTAGTCAACCTGTTCCTAGGGTGTACAAGCTGGTTGCGGAGTGTAGTCGTCCGCTTGTGCGCCACATGTATTTGGTGCTTTCTCAGGTGTCTTTCAACTACTCGGCCACATTCTTAATGTACGGAAGTGTTCGCCAGTTTTTTTTTTGGTTTTGGCACCTGATCGGCACAATCTACTTCCTTGTACCGTTTTTTTGACTCCTGTCGTCTCATGCATCGGTGTAAAAAATATCTAGGATACCCATTCTGGGAAAACAGTCTGAACAAATAATTCAGTTCTGTTTGGTAGGTTTCGCTGTCTGAGCAATGAGTTCTTGCTTGGTTAAGGAGGCTGTTCACGGCACTCCGTTTATAAGAGATCGGGTGATTGCTCTCTTAATGCAAAAGAATTTCCGCGTAGGTTTCCTTGCGGTAAACTGAAGTGTGGAATGTCCCGTCAGGCTTTCCCTGTACGAGGACATCAAGCAACAGGAGTTTGTTGTAAGCCTCCTTCTCGAGTGTGAATGTGATTCCTGGAAGTGTTAAGTCAATAATGCTGTGGAGTATTTCCAGTTGATCACTTTTGACAATGACAAGTGTCATCAACATAACGTGCCCATAATTCGGGGTTAACTAATGGTAAGGCGATAGCTCAATTTCTGCATCGTGACTTGCGCGAGAAAGCCAGAGATGGGTGGTCCCACGTTTATCATTGTTAAAAGTGATCAATTGTAAATACTCCGGTCTCAGTTACAGATGCAGTTACAAAGTAGAAAAGCATGGGAAAGATGATCTTTAGTCGCACAACGCTTGACTACCTGATAAAAACGATCAAACTAGAGAGTAACGGGTTTTTAATCCTATGCAATACGCCAGAAGTACTGAAGTCATCATAGTGGCGAGACCCTGCAATGGTCTAATCCATTTCCTCTCGGCATAACCTAAAACAACTAGGGTGCCGGGCGGGCTTACAGCCAATCATTTTGCGGCACATACACCCCTCAATGCTATAGGCGCGCTAGATATTCTGACGTTCTTATCCAGTGAAAGAATATCAACTTGACAGGCTAATACTATCACCTCGGCAAACGCCCACATGCATGAATTGCATCCATAAGCTTACTTAAGGGGTCCGCCACCGCATCCACATTCCTCATTATGCTAAGTTTAATTACAGGCACACTAGCCGAAGGAGTTCCAAAAAGTGCACTTCCTACCTCAACAGTGCACGAAATGGATTCCGAAAGGTGCTAAGCTCCGAAATTTACTCAGATTCGGTGGGGCTGGAAAGCAGGACCGCAGGTGGTGGTATCTGAACTTGTACCAAGTTGTCTGGCATACTGCATAACGAGTACTAAAGGATGTACATATTTCTGACGTATGGCCGGTTGACGACGGTTAATAAGCCAGAAATGGTCATTCCAGTCTCCTTTGTCTTTGTCCGTAATGCTATTCTGCCTATATCCCGCTCCCCGTGCAGCTGCTGGCTGGGCTCGAGAGAGAGAGCCCTAAGGCACAACGGGAGGAGTGAGTTCCGTAAAAAACGATCGGTGAACGCCCCTCTACCAGTGACGTACTTCTACTGACTTATTCGGGCATCCCATGTAGAAAGTTCCCGTGTCTGGTAAGATATGCCTCTATCAAGACCCCTTCGATGGATTTGACTACCTCTAGACATCAAACACGATGGCGTGGGATTTTATGGAGCGGTAGCCTAGACACCCATTCTCAGGCCAAATTTTAAAAATCGAGTTTTCTTAAGGCCAAATGCACATCGCCCAACCACTTCTGCATCCAAGTCTTCTGTCTGCAGAGTATGGACGACACTAACGTAAATCGTATTCATAAGTTTCGAAGAATATGGGGAAGAAACTGGCAGCGGTTAAGGGCACAAGAAAGCAAGGTAAACGCCCCAGCATTGAAAAATTTTAGGGTTCAGGCGGTCGTTTTAATATATATGGTCTCAAAAAGGGAACGAAATTTCAAGGACTTGCTGAAAGCTGAGTGAGCTCCAGGTGGATAACTACGAAAAAAACAGAAAAGGCCTGAGCGGAAACATTGCTGGATTCCGAGCGTCTATTCTTCGTCAGTAAAACCCCAATACGTTTTCATCGTTTGAAAGAAAGGAGTTTCTCCATTGCCCCATGGGAAAGGCTAGTATGTTTAAGAGCTGAATTAAATACAAGTTACCTTGTGGGTTCGTGGAAATGGTTTGAAAAACGGGCGGCCAAACTCCTCTTCGTGTAACTTTCTTTTGTGTTCCTGCCTTTTGTAGAAGAAGTACGACCAAATGGACGCGGGAACAACAGCAAAGCTGATCGAACACCACCAGATTTTTTGTCCTTAAGAACGGTAATGCAAAGCAAGTAAAGGCCTACTCAGAGAAAGTATTTGGTGCCGATGGAAATTCAAACTATACAAACGCTTTCCTTGGTTCACAACGGGTGCCCAATTCCGCAGTATCACCATTGTAAAGGCTGTCTCTACAGAGAAGATATTTTCAACATACAATAAATCTGAGCCAGGAGCAAAAACAAAACGACTGCAAAGTCTAAGGGCCGAAAATGGCCCACCAGCGCACGAGGATGACCGCGAGACATTGTAGACAAAGCCCTTTGGATTATCAGTCACTCGTCGTCTAAATTTCGTATCTTGGTCACATGCTGAAATCAAGTGTCACTGTACTGTATCGACACTTGTCGGGTGACAAAGACCACTATGTGAGCGTTCGCGATGGCCGATGAAAGAGGAGGACGTAGCAAGATGACGGGGCACCGAACTGTGGTTAATACTGGGTCGACTGATTGGGGTGCAAATCCATAGACTTACTAACCTCCAATCGGGTAACGTTACCTGGCGACGACAAGTAGGCCAGAAGACTTGCCGTCCATCGGTTTTTCCCATTATACATTTTTCGTTTGTTGTCCATTCACTATTGTGAGACTAACTGCAAAAACCCTAGCCTGAGTTTTAAGGTCAAGTGAAGTAAGGACACCCCATCCTACAATAAAGTAAAACCGCAGTTGCCACAGCCATATGACGAAATTATTCTTTTTAGTGTGGGAACATGAAGGGCAAGGTGGTTCGACTGCCCTGAAGGCCCTAAATGTGGAGTACATGTGCGTGGTGCAACTTATGCCCATAAGCAAATTGCAAAAATACCACCATAGAAACACAAGTTGAGAAAAATATTTTATGGGTCGGCTTCCTGTAAAATAGATGCGGCCTGTCAGAGTCCGGTGTTTGTCTAAAACTTGTAGTGCTCACAAAGACAGCCACGAAGGTGATGGAGACGGATGGAAAACTGAGATCAGATCTGGCACAAACTGCCCGTTATCCCGGTGAGATAAACCCCAAAATTTACGTTGGAGAGTACGGCGACTGAGTCCTTTGAGACATTTGACAGCTGGCAGAGCTGGCTCACAAGCAAACTTGCTTGAGACAGCCGTTTTAAGGACCGGGTAGAGGAAATTAGTTAGGGGAACTGCGTTCTTTATTTGCTCCGGTGGAGCAGGTTATATTGGTCGCACGAGTAGGTACCTATCCAAAAGAATACAGGGACACCTCGCGGCATGATTGAAAAAAGGTGAAAATAGATGCATAAACTGCGTTATTCTCGCATACATGGTTGATCCATATCATTGTATTTATTCCCGACGAATCCCTCCGTGTAATTAACAGGGTTCCATCGAATTACCCTAAGCCACTAGGCAATCGTATTTTGGCAACAACAGAAGGATTACCAGCAGGTTACAGAGGCCTGTCTTGTGGGCACTGAATAACCTGGTATAGCTCCACGCCTACGGTAGCCAAAGGTCGGTTAACTGAGCCCTCCTCCCACTTTGCCTAATTCTCACTGCCTCCTAACTTACTGTCTTTTATTATCTCTTCCTCCTCCCTATTCCCATATCCCACATGAAGAGATGAATTGATCGATTTGTCTTATAACACATGTTTTACTCGTGCCTCGTTCCCATATAAATGTACCGGACTGACGAAAATTTACCGAAATGGAATTCGGCTATATGAGATAACATCATAACGAAGATGCAAACCAATAGTTTGGTAGCTTCGGAAAACTCTTGGTTCGTCTGACCAGACCCTCGGGTAAGGCATTGGCCAGAGGTTTATGTACAATTAATCCGTGGGGCCGCAAAATTGGCGGTCCCGTCAAGTCAGTCCTAAACGGCGGCCGAATGTGTGTGTGTGTGGCACACAAGAGACGGGGGCCTCGTATACTTTATATGGGCAGTTCGTTGGGCTAGGCCTCGCCGCTGATTCATAATAAGGTGAAAATAAGTGGGGCTGGGCCCACACAGCGTATTCTAGTAATGGTGGTGGTAAAAATCTGGCTTGTCTCGGATCCACTACAGAACTCTAAAATCCGTGACTTCGGAGATTGCCAAATGGATAAACGGCCTGATGTTGATAATCGAACGTAGCACGTAACGGCTCCAATAGAATGTGGGCTTGCGGAAACTTGCATTGAGTCGAGATTCGAATAAGTGAGATCTGTTTCCTAGGCGTAGCCCGCTTACATGGTGACTAACCACTGCGCGTACGACCATCTCCAGTACTATTGACCTCGCCCGATGGGCGGGAAGAGTGGCAAGAGTACGACGCAAGGGTCCTTTACTTGTGATAGTCGTTGGGGCTGTTGAGCGGACTACAAGATATATGAAGAGAATAGGTGTGAAGGAGGTCGATCGGAGTGCAATCGAACTGGAAGTTAACGGCGAAACTGCAATCCTGACGCTTCAGTGATACCCTTTAGGCGTGGGCAAACATGAGCTTAAACATGTTTGGCCAAGACAAATTTGCCGAGGAAGTCGGAGTTAGTGCACTAGTACAAGGCAACAGATTAGAGCCCCATCAAAGGACGATTAGACGGACGTCCTTGGCATGACTTGCCCACGCAGCGAGTCTGCCAAGTGGGTTTGCGGCTGATCACATTGGAGAAGACAATGCGAATGCCATTGGGCTATCGCTTTTCAGCCTCACAGAGGTCTAACTGGCTTCCTATTTGAGACTCCACAAGACCCAGGCATTAAGGCATAAGGGAACGAGCATGTTGTATACTGTAACCAGGCCGGTGAACGCCCGACGCCCGCTCCACGTGAATTCATACTTCTGATCGCAGCCGACAGTGGAACAAGGCGGTGCGCTTGACTTGAGGTTCAATTGCCATACAGTCTGAGCTGGAGCATCTGGTTATCCAAGACAGGGTCTTAGACTTAGCGCTGCCCGCGGGCAACGTTAGCCAGCTATAGAGGCCGGCTAAAGAGCCGAAAGTGGTTTATACAGTATCTGTTGTTTTAGCCGGCTATCAGTCTTGTCTGATAAATAAACACCAAATACTTAATAAAGGAATCCGGAGAGCTTCATCAATAAAACTGTAATAGGAGGAGACAACACACCGCTGGGAAACAAATATATGGCGGAGAGTAAGGAAACACACTAAATCGAAAAAGGCTCTCCGGCCCTATCTATTCTTCAAATTCGACGAAGATTCAGAATATTCGGTTCCTTGAAAAAACAAGGTTCATTTGTGATGAGTCCTACGGATGTTCTGTCACAACCCATCATTGATAAACGCCCAAGGCTTCTGAATTGCTGTCATGTCTCCCCCTAAGTCCGGAGTGTTTTTAACGGTGACAGCTTGAGGTATCAACGGGTTAAAGTTCGCAGTAAGAGTTCAATGCCTGGCACCTGAAATTATGCGTACTTCAGTTAACAACACAAGGCAGCATGAATGTAACCCATCATTATATATATGATAAGATAATGGGACGTATTCCGTATGAGGACAGCAGTGTGAAAATCAAAAACTAAGGCGAGAGGATAGTCTGGACTGGCATCGTACCCGCGATAATTGAATAAGGAGGCGGCTCAGTCGTCTGTCAATCAGACAAAGATAAGGTTGTTGGATTTATCCGGAAGTATGAGACTCTAGGATATGGTGTTTTTCTGTTAAAATCTGTCCCAAAATGAAACTCCAACTAAGCATGCAATACACATCAATGAAAGTTTGTTCTATAGGTACTAGTATATTTACTAGAGCCTATTATATTATTATAATAACCACCGGAAGAACCGAGCACCGAAAATCGAAAAAAATGTGTGAGTGTTTGGTCAGGACTGTTAAAAGCTGCTAAATCAAAGGCAATTTAAAGGCTGGAAGGTCGATAGCATCCCTGTCCGCACCAGCGCCGCCTTGCCACCTCTGTAGCCGGCAGCCATCATGACCGGTCTGGCGTCATTGTTTTGTAGTGGCGGACAAAGACGCATTTGGTGGGAAGCCGAGAAAAAAGGAACGGCGATTTGTATTGTTGAGTTTCCAGCGTGCCTTTTCCCTTTTGCCTTGCAGAACAGAACGAAGATGCAGACGTGTTTGAGATTTGGGTGGTTACTGTTGAAGTTCATTACTTGCATCGTATTTGTCGCTTTCCTGAACACTTTGGTATTTAGTCCACCACAATCGTTGCGGCATACGAGGACATCCAGGAAGGCCAGTTGGTTGTTCTTTTCCTCCTCCATCCTGAATTGAATGTCCAGGAAGACGACGTTGAGATGTTCTTGGAATGTCAGCACCTGATCCCGTTTGATCACGACGAAGGTGTCATCCACATACCGGGCCCAGAACTTCGGTTTGTAGCGTTGGAAGACCAGCAACTTTAACCGTTGCAAGACCGCCTCGGCGATGAATCCCGAAATCGGCGGTAGCAGCTCGAGCTGCTACTACAAAACAAATACGATGAAACTGAGAATCGTCTTGGACACGCCCAAATCCTTCAGCTCCTGATGCTCTGTCTCAGGACGTACTTCATGATCGATGGGACAATCTACGGGCAGGTGAAGGGCACACCAATGGGTTCGCCGATTTCGGGCTTCATCGCCGAGGCGGTCCTGCAGCCCCTGGTGCATGAATCATTCATATCTGCTGCTGTCTCTGATGATGGGTTCCAGCAGGATCCCGAAACGTCAGGCTAATAAAGCTCTTGTCCAGCGATCGTATCTCCTTCTTCAAGACTACTTCCTGGGACTCGTCTCTTCGCTGCTATTAAAAAAAACTGTAGGTCTCTATCGAAAATGAGACTGCCCTTCAGCACTCGAAGGGAGTAGACCATTGTGTCTGCCAAATGTTCTCAAGTTATACTTCAGCAGTTGGTCAGGATGCTTGGGGTTTTTAGACTGCATAACACCGTTGTTGCTGTGAACGGAGGCCTTGCTCACCGCCGCTAAGGTTTTATCACTAACAAAGTCGACAACTGAGTACATGTTTATGCGACCGGGAGCGTCAAGGTCAAGGTCCAGCCGCTGGTTTTAAATTTGAAGATAAGTGGAGGATATTATTTTAAGTGGTTTTTCTGTGAGACCTAACGATTTTAATACGTGTTTTTTGGTTGAATTTCCTTAAATACAGGCCTTTTCTCTAAGAACTGCCTGCTGCCATCTCCTTTTGAGTTCTGCTAGTCTATGCCCGTTGTTCACTAATCGCACTCTGCAATTCTCATTTTGTGCATCCGATTTCTCTCTAACTGTTGTAATTTATTTTTACATCGTTAGCCCCTAGCTGAAATTCAGTCAACTTGTCTGCCAGAAGTTTTCTTAATCCCAAATTGCCTCGAGACAAGATAAGACCAAAAGTCACTGGTCGACGTAAGCTCTCGGCTCTTGTAAGTAAACATGGCCTAACTAAACGTAAATCAGAAGCTTTACCTAAATCTAAGTCAGATGATATTACTAGTCAGTCGTCACCCGTTGTAATTGGTCGGCAGCTTAATCTGTCTGAACTTGACCACTGCAATGACGTTATGCTAAAGTTTGGCTCTTTGCTGACAATTCTTGGACATTTATTCGGCGAGAACATCTCCGATATTCCCTCTGAAGAATGTAGGCGTCTCGACTCACTTGTTCACCTGATCGCCAGTGAATCTAGTGATAGACAGAAGCGTTCTTACAACTTCCTGCTAAAAAATGTTCCTCGATCTGCTCGGCCAATTGATGTTGCGACCAATTTCCTGTATTCGTGTGGTTTCAACTATAAAATAGCCGGTGCCAAACGCTTGTCCTCCCGTAGTACAAATCCACCCATCTTAGTCAAATTGTTTTCATCAATCGAGGTTGACACAATCTTTACTCATCGAGAGCGTGTCACTGCGTACCTAGAGAAGGCAAAATTTTTCCTTTGTCATGATCTTACTCCTATGGAGCGTAGAATCGGGTCTCTATTCTCACGTAAACCCACTACTTCTCAGTCTAATGCTCCCCAACTCGGTCATAATACAAGTGGCCGTAAGGATTCAGCTTCTCCTACTCCTGCGACATCTGACTCCCTCCTTCCTCTTTCTCCTACGTCTCCATCTCACTCCAGCCACTTGACGCATTTGCCTGCCCCTAAACTTGTAGCAGCAGCAGCAGCAGCAGCAGCAGCAGCAGCAGCAGCAGCAGCAGCCCCATTTGTCCTTTCGTATCCTCCGGATAGCCCCGCTGGAACACATGAAAATCCGTCTACATCAGCTAGACCGATAACTTCTCTTGTCCAACTGGGTGCTGTAAGGTCTACAGTTAAGTCACCAGTGGCTTGGCATCAGAACGGGGAGACTCGAAAATTGAATCAGACTCCGACCCAAAAGAAAGGTAGTACAGTTCCATTTGGAGGTACTACGCCTTCTCTTAGATCTAACAAGTCTGTTCAGCCCAGCACGTCTACAAATCCCGCAGCTCCAATTATATCCTCGAATAATTCTCTGTCCTGCGTACCGGTTACTTATCAAAGCCCTACTATATATCCAGCAACTAATTCATACATGAATTGCCCTAAATCATTTATGCCCCAACCTAGTTCAGGCTTCCCACCACTTAAGGCCAATTGCTCTCCGGTACGTCAACCTATCTCCTTTGACTTCCAACCTAGATCTGGTTTCCCACCCTTTCATTCTCATAGCGGCCTACCCTCACCCACTAGCCCCTACTTTCCTTCTAGCCTCCCTCCTCCTCCCCTTCCTCCACTATTTAACTACCAACAAGTCAATCTGCTGCAAAGTGATGGAGAAAATCATCAAAAAGGAGTTAATGGCTTACTTGGAAACCCACAACCTCTTGTCCAATCCACAATATGGTTTCCGTAGGGGAAGATCAGGTGTTACGAACTTGCTATACACAATGCAAAGTTGGACACGAGCACTGGACGCAAAACACACCGTGCATGTTGCCTATATTGATTTCCGGAAGGCGTTTGACAGTGTTCCGCACCAGCGTCTCCTACACAAGTTGAGAATTATGGGCATCGGTGGCAAACTTCTCAAATGGATCGAAAATTTCCTTGTCGGCCGCTCCCAAATTGTCTGCGTAGAACAACAGCAATCAAGGTGCACATTCATAGAGAGTGGGGTCCCACAAGGCTCGGTGCTCGGACCAACTCTCTTTCTCTTGTTCATCAATGATTGCGTAGATGGGTTGGACTGTGATTGTGCCATGTTTGCGGATGACATAAAAATCTGGAAAGTCATCCAGAATGCTGCCGATGAGACCAACTTCCAAGAAAATCTTTGTCGATTGGACGATTGGTCCCACAGATGGCTCTTGTCCTTCAATTTGAACAAATGCACCATTCTGCGCCTCGGAAGTCAGACCCCTAGTACGCGGCAATACCATCTGAACGGAATGCCACTCCGAGAAGCATAAACGCAGAAAGATCTCGGAGTTTGGGTTGCAGACAGCCCAAAGCCTTCTACACAATGCTGTAAGGCTGCCAAGGCCGCAACTTCAATGCTATATGCCATCAAGCGGGCATTCGTAGTTTTCGATGAAGACTGATTCACCAAAGTCTTCGGCACGTTTATAAGGCCCCATCTCGAATATGCAATTCAGGCCTGGAGACCGTGGACGCATCAGGCTTACGATCTGCTCGAAAGGGTGCAGAGGCGAGCCACAAAATTAGTAAGAGGTCAAAGTGCACTGTCATACGAGATCCGCTTAACTAACCTTAATCTCTATCCTCTGAGTTATAGGCAGTTGCGCGGAGACATGATACAAACTTTCTGTATCGTGCGCGGCTTGGATTGTGCCCTTCGGTGCGATGACTTTTTCCAACTCGCCACTACAACTCACCTCCGGGGACATCCCCTCAAGCTACGTGTGCCACAGGGTAGACTGAATGTGAGAAAATATTTCTTCTCCAACCGTGTCGTGGAAACGTGGAATAACCTGCCCGAGACGGTTGTTATGTCTCAATCTGTGGAGACATTTAAATGTCGCCTTGACAGATATATGCTGCAGCAACAAGCGGACTATGTGACTTTTTAACCATGTGACTAGTGACATATGTGAATCAATGTATGCATTCATTTACTGCTGTAATTTCTTCACATTTTTGCTTGTTTATCGATTTTTTATGTACAAATAGGGAGTTCAAAGGCGTAAGCCTATTTCCCTCAAATACACTGACTGACTGACTGACTGACTAACTCCCCTAGCATTCCAATGCTTGAAAACTATATCCCCACCTCCTTTAGGTCTCATACTCAGCCTTCTCTTGCTGACTCCCCGTACGCCAATAACTCTAGATTAACTGGTTCTTATTCTCCAAGTGCCATTAATTCACAGCTTACATATCCACCTCAAAATTTTTTTTTAAAATACCGTCGAAAATAGCATTGCCGTTCGAAACACATTAGGTATTATATTATTGAATGCCAGGTCTGTTATAAACAAGATGGCTCAAATCAGAGCATTTGCTCTGGAAATGACGCCTGATATTATATGTGTAACAGAATCTTGGACACATTCTCTAATTCCTGACTCTGCCCTTCTCATAGATGACTTCGATTTTTACCGCCAAGACCGCACGACTAGGCGTGGGGGTGGTTGTCTTCTTTATCTTAAATCCTACCTAAAGCACTCTCCCTATTACTTGGATGTTTCCTCATTCACGGGAAACTTCTGCTTTGCATCTGTTATTCTCTCGCCACAAAGAAAGGCAATTATTGGTTGTATCTACAATCCCCCAAATTCTTTAGCCAGTGATGATTCTCAACTCTGTGAAATCTTTAAATTAATTTCTGAAGCTGCTTTCGATGTTAAAATAATCACTAGGGATTTTAACCTTCCTGAAATAGACTGGGTTTCCAATAGCTGCCCACCCAGATTCCAGCCCATTCAAGATATTGTCAATTTTTCTAATTGATCCCAACTGGTGCGCTCTCCAACAAGAGATAATCACATTTTAGATCTAATCTTTACCAATGACATTGCTCCTCTTTCTGTTGCTTTAAAAAAGGACCTCTTTGACAGTGACCACGTATTAATTCAGTGTTGCATACCTCTTGCCTTTTCAAAAAAGACAAGCGCCGTTCGGACTTACATGAACTACGACTGCGCAGGTAGCGACTTAATAAATAATTATATGAGATCCTTGGATTGGTGTGGCTTCCTCACTTGTAGCGATGTAACCATTCTTCGTGATGCCATGTCCAATGTTTCCAAGGACATTCTAGAGTTTGTGCCGCGTAGATATCTCAAGCCCAATTCTTCAGATTCCCTTGTTCCTCATTTTTTTCAGAACAGACTAAAAATGTTGAGGCGACCACTGCGTGACCCATCCACTAGTTCCTTATCAGTTCATCTTAGAATCACAGAGATTTTTAAAATGGCCTCTGGGATGAGAAAAGTGAGCGACAGACAAAGAGAATCAATTGCCCTCAGTGACTTGAACCCTGGCAAATCCGTCGCTAACATCTTTCGTCATCGGTCCTCCTCTAAGCATGGTCACGAACTTCCACCCATGCTAAATGATAACAAAGTCTTCCTCACCGATGACACTGACAAGGCGGAGTTGTTTAGTGCTTTCTTTGCAAAACACCTTGCTACCAAGTCCTATCCGGTCCCTTTCTTTCGATCACTTTCAGATAGGACACTTATTA